GGTGGTGTGGGTTTGGTAGTGGGCGCTGGTGTGGGTGGAGTGGTGGGTGCTGTAGTTGGTACGGTGGTGGGCTGTGTGGGATGGGTAGGCTCGAAACCGCCCGGACAGTCCATGACATCCTTTTCCTTTCCGTTGATCATATCGTAGACTTTGGTGAGGAGGGGGTACTTATGGCCGAACCCGCACTCGTTGCGGAAGTCGTCGAACTCCAGGGACCATATCATAGCACCCCTCAGTCCCATTGACTTCAAAAATGCCGCCTTTTTTGGTTAATTAGATGTCAATTAGTTTTAAAAGTAGTATAAAGTTATTTTGGTTCAAGGAAAGTTTTTAATTTTATAAAATTTTTTTTCCAATAATTGATTTTCAATTTTAAAATAGCTGTTTAAATTATAAACTATATTTCATAATTTAGTCAAACTTGTGTATTAAATCACTAATTTATTTTCTAGCCATTATTTAATACACTTACTAGCACCTAGTTTACTGCTAATAATGTTATTGTAATTACGTTTCATTGCCTTGTAGATTTTAAAATTACTATTTCTTATAAGCCCTTATATTTTGTACATTTTAAATAATAGCTATTAATAGGAAAATTAGTATTTAATGGACACATACTTTGCACTGAAGACTATCGATGTTATCGTAACCGACAAATATCTCCTTAGTGTAACCATAGGGCGCTTTGTAATAGTAGTCAAACGTGATTTTCCAGTCCTCCTTGTGCTCATTCTCTAAATTACAAATCTGTTAACCATAACAATGATCAGGGTTAAAATTATAAACATTAAAAAAATATTTTATTTTAATCTAATTATTGTTTAAAAAAATGTGAAAACACTCGCCTCGTTAAACCCTAATACTCCCGACTCGTTGGACACTCTACCGGGTGGCGACATGCCCTTAGCCAGGTCGTGTAGGTGTGTATGCTCCCCGTCCATTAGCGACCAGGCTCTGCCATACAACGGCATTCCCATTACCATCTTATCTTTATGGAGACCTTTCTCCAAATAGTAGTGAATAGTATAGTTCACGTTGAATTCACGGTAATTCATATTCAACTTCTTTTCCAACTCCTCAGTCTCTTCGGGACGGCTATACATCGGGGCGTTATGTCCCAGGTAGTCATCGAAACCACCATGGTAATCGTAGGTCATGATATTGGCCCAATCGATTAGGTCATTAAGTTTTTCAATGTTATTACCGGGCAATGCGGCGTCAATAGTGCCCTTTCCAGGGGACAGGGCTGTTGTCAACAGGTATTTGCCATTAAACGCATCATGCAACTCCTTTAACAAAGTTAAGAAATTCTCAGGGTCAGTTTTACTGTCGCCTCCCCTATTAGCCGGGTACTCCCAGTCCAGATCCAGGCCGTCGAACTTGTAATCACTTAAGAACTTGAGTACACTTTTGACAAACTTTTGTCGGACGTCCGGTTTGGAAACCATATCCGAGTACTTTTCCGACCCCTCATACCAACCGCCCAACGAAATCATGAGTTTTAGGTTCGGGTTCAACTTTTTCAGCAAGATAAACCTATGGTAGCCCTCTGTAATTGTACAAATTTTTATTAGTTTAAATTCTACTTACTATTAATACACGATTTAAATAGTTAAATTAAACTAGATTATGCGCGTACCATATACAATATCAAATTGGGTGTCAAAAACTTGTATTTCGTAAGTGGACTCGTTGATTTTAGCGAACCCATAGTTAACATGTGTACACAGGTGGACGACATCCTCTATGTTTTTAATGTCGAATCTTTCTTCCGGGATATGATAGATTGACCATGCTCCAAAATAGCACACTATCGGCTTATCATCGTTGGACGACTCTGTTAAACAAAATTACGTAAGTAATTACTAAAATGCTTTAAACTTTAAAGCTTTAAACAATACGCTTACATAATCTAGCAATTTTCTAATTGTTAAATTACATTTTATTATAATTTTAAAAAATAAAAATATTTTTTTAATAAAAAAACCTTTTTTATACAGTATAACATTAAATTTTGATGCTAAACATTTAGGTCATATTGAAAACTTAATATCCAATTAGTTTCCTGATTGAAATAATGTTTAAAATATTAATTTATTTCTAATAATTCTTTACTTGCTTTAGAATTTGTAAACTTTTAAGCAAAATAATTTACTAGTATGGATTTATTTATAGCAAAGTTTCTAATAGAAAAATAAGTAAATAATTTTTACTGGTATACCTTTTATATGGTTGGCCTCATAGTTAGTAAAGAAACCCACAAAAAGTGTCAAAACTAATACAACACTTGTTTTATCCATTTTGTTGTATAAGTTTTAAAATGTAAAACTTCAACAAAACTATACAAACATCTACTGATCGATTGATTTACGATTTACTTGTTTATATACAGAATAATTGTCTAAAATCTAGTGCATACTCTACTAATAATGTCGTATCTAAATGTGCATCGGTAATTTCTTGGTAATGCAAATCAATATCCTTAATCCAATTCTGTGTAAAATGCTTATCAATGTTGTTGTCATCATATTTTCTAAATACGTTCTGAGAAATATCTTTCAAGTAAAATCATTATGTATGAAATAGTGTACTTTTAAATGATATCACCATGGTAAATGTTATAGTTGATTAGGTGAGATCTATTGTACTTCAAACGTACCATGTTATCATTGTAATAGTATGCTTGTTATTATATCGTATAACAGAGTATGGTTAAAGATTATACTTATTTTGTAATAATCTCTACAATTTATACATAACTTTTGGTATTTTTAAAACATTTTAAACCTGATTTAAAATTAGTTTCTAAAATATCTCATACTATATCTATCAATACTTAAAACAGATTATCAATTGATTACCATGTACCTGTATTATGATTGCCGGCATAATTGCGGTAATTTATTTTTAATTTTACCTTATCATTAGTAAACTTTAAACTACTGTATCATATAAATGAAATACAGTACTTGAAGTGTGTGATATACAATTATAATTAATCCGGGTTACACAACATTTGTTATCTAGAAAAAAAGCAATGTACCCAATGTTCACAACTTACCCTGTTTAGGATTTTATATAACAATTGAATCCAAAATCAGTACAAAATGTGTGCCCACCTAGAGGGGACGGGTATTTAGGAACAAATTGAACTAATAATCTTTTAATCTAAAAGTTGAGCAAAGGGGACATTTTAATTCATATAATATTTAATGTTTTAATTTGATTAATTTGTTATTTTTAAAAGCATCTTTATAGTAGTAAATACTTTAGTGTGCAGTTTTAAATATGAAATTATTAAAATAGCAATCAAATACAGTATAGTGTCTAATATATACTTTTTTGATGGTAAGTTTAGCATGTTATTATTTTGTATCAGCTCTAATATTATTTTATAAAAGCAGATTAATTTTTGCAGGTTTCTTAATTAATCAACAATTTATTAAAATATTTAATATACAACTTAAAAAGTGCAAAATTTCTATGGTTTACCATGTTCATATAATAAAATCATAAATAAATTTAATTAAATCTCACCTCAAATAAAACAAATTTGTACTCAAATACAGTAATAGCTATTATATTAATCTATTAATTAAATTAGTAATCTCATGTTACATTTAATTCAATGTAAATAACAAACACAAACTTTTTAAAATCTAATTAATTTATCTTTTCTTTAAAAACTCATACTATTTATGAATTGGTAGACAACCATACCGTATATAAGGCCTAAACAACATTTCCGGCACCGGCACCTCCACTACCACCAACACTGCCACCACCGCCACTACTACCAGCCCCATCACCACCCGAACCTATTCTCTTGATAGCCAACTTGGGGTCAATACGAATGTCTACAATACGGGGCTCGTCGTCGTCCCGATTTACGGGCGGGAATACCCTGCGCCGCACCAAACGCCCCGTCAGGACAAACATATAGGCGCTCAACACCACCAACCAGGAGCACAAAAAGGGCTGCGATGTTCCCATAGTGCTTAACACCATGTAGCCCAACCACCACACCCCCAGCATTGAGATACCGGTGACGGCTGTGCAGTTTTGACGGTCTAACCAGCGGCTAAACGACTCAAACGCACCCATAGCCCTGTCCACAGCCCCGCCCTCCCTAACTGTCTGCACCCCAATGTACTGGTGCTTACATACGGAACATTCGGTCGACTGACTGGTGACCACCCATTGCTTCAGACACGCCCTACATATGGCGTCATTACAGACGCACACGGCGTACGGCATGCACTCAACCCTCTCGAGACATATGCGACATTGTTCGGCACCGGGAGGTACGGGTGAGTCAATATCGATGGATACCTGACCGGTGCCGGCGTCGTAGTGGGCGGTTGGGGACGGTCTGAACCGTGGGATGTGTTGCCGTATGCGACGGTTGTGGTCCGGGGGAGGCGTACGGGTGAGCAACTCGTCCGGTGGGTCGGGAGCGCCGGAAGTACCAATTGGGGGTATGTGTTGGGGTTGGCTTTGGTTGGGGTCCGGGGGAAGTATAGGTTGCACGACATCCTGGGGCTGATTTGCACCCGTACTGAGTGGCGGTCCCACAAAGATGTTAGATGTCATGAGAGGGCGTGGGTGTTGGGGGTGTCGTCGAGAGGTAGGTGGGGTCGGCGGCGGTACGAATACACCCAGGTTTGGGTTTACACGGTCACCCCTACCGCCCTTACCCGGGTAGTTGTAGTGTTGATGATCCCTATCCCCCATATATCGTGTCAATACTTATGCTTTTGTATGATTTTTATCATATTATGTTAAAAAATTTAGATTTTTTATTTTATAAGAAAAATTATATTAATTTTCATTTTATTCAAAAATTAATCATTTTATAATTTTATAACATTTTATGACATTTTATAAAAGTTATATTTTTGGCAATTATTAAAACTTATATATTGTCACAAAATATGTTAAAAATATTGTTTTGAATAAGGATTTATTTCTACATATGGCTCACTCACAACACCAATGATATGATATAGCAATGGCTGCCAAAGTCCGGTGGGTCGGGAGCGCCTGTAGTACCGGAGCTGCTAAATACCGAGTGCTCGCGGCATAACTGATTACCGCCCACTCGGATGGGTGTGCGCCAGTCGGGCGGTACCTGAATGGGCGGCACCGGTGGGTTAGGCGGTGGAGTCACATACTGATCGTCCGGTGAGTCCGAGTCGATGTACTGGATGTTTGAAGCATCCCTTTCCCCTCCTGTGGCCATATTTTCGGACAATTCAAAAAGTTTTGTTTTAATTCATTGTTTAAAAATTTATTACATTTTTTATTTTAAAAATTATTATTTTGTGTTAAATTTAAATTGTTTGTTCCTGGCTAAGTTAATCTTTGAATTATTTGACCTAGTATAATTCGCTATACTATACTGCTTTCATTTGATTAAAAATTTGTGTTTAATTTCTTTATTTATTGCATTTTCTTTACAGAATATTCTTTTATTAAAAGCTTTATATCATACAAGTTATATGTATACTATTAAGTGGTTACTATTATACTTTAAAGCTTTTAAAGAATTGTATACAAAACAAATAACTTTTCTAACAATTGATACAAATTAAAATTAAAATATTATCATACATTGACTTTTCGAGCAATAACGTATGATTGGTTAAGATTGTTGGGGCGTTAGCATAGGGACAGCCTTATGATGGATTGAGCGCGAGTTCTAACTCGAGTTTAGTTGAGTCATAGAAACTAATGCAATCAAAGTAATCAAACCCATACACATCACTAGTTTTCATACCAAACACTATTCCAAATTGAAGGGCAAGTTTTGTTTGTTTTGCTACCCTAAAGCTATATTGACAAAGCCCACCTCATGTCTTATTAAGTACAGTATCAGTAAGTGCCCTCAGCCTTACTCTCCCTTTGTCTCAATAAGTACGAACCGGTGGTCTACTTCCGACTACCAACCACTTTCCTATGTCTCCCTGAGTACAGATGAATAGGCCCCTAAACCCTATCCGTTAAATGGGTATTGTCTCTGGGAGTACGAGCAGACGGATGGCTACGCCACCGCACTGTACTCTACATTATATAAGCTTACACAGTGTGAGCAAATGTTAGGTAAATTACCCACATAAACCCAACAATACGAATGAAAATTAAAATGAATTCAATTTGAAGGAGATAAATGGTTTGGTATTATGTGAATTGTAATTGAATTGAGCGCTTGTTTTGAGCGATTTCTGTGAGTTTTCATTGGTTACCAATACTTATGTCTGTTTTGAATGTATTTTCAAATAATTGATAAAATTCAGGTTTCATTGTGCGATAGTGTGTACTCATTGACTACAATGTCTGTCCATTTGTCTGTTCAGGTGATCCTATTATCTATGACAATGCCATCGGACGCTCTGGAAATGACCACAAGATTTACGAGAAATGCGATTCATATACGCGTGGAGTTGGATGAGCGCACTCTCAATAATATCCAACAGTTTGTCGTACGAGTAGATCGCGAGGAATGCAAGTTTGCCGCCTTACACCATTTGTGGGAATGCCTACCCGTAACAAAAGCTCTCATATCCTGTGGAACCCGACGTAAAGTGGACTGGCTCACTGGGAAAATGAAAAACAAGGGGTTGTATGTCGCACACTTGGTTAGTCGCCGCTAACTACTATATTACAGTATATCAATGATAGTGTGTATTAATCCTGATTTTGTGAATCCCTGTCCCCTGA